TTGCAATTTAAAGCATTACTATCTTCAGTTCCTTTGAGCAGTTTTTAAAGCATAATCTTTATTTTTTGGAAATAAAGAAATGTTAGTAGTTAAGATTTTAGGGCCTGTAAGTTTTTTTAATCATGACATATCTTTTATAATGTATTTTCTTGAATCTTACACTTTCCCAATTCTCTTAATATTAAATATGGCTTGAAAACACAAACAGTCTTAGAATACTGACTATCATAGATAGGAACACAATCACTAGAGGCATCCTTTGCCTGCTTCAGATCTCAGCACTAAAAAGATTTTAGGTGATATAGCTAAAATTGCATGATATAATACAGAGTTCCAGTGGTCTCTTTGAATAAAATAATTCTGAAATGTCAATTAATTTTTATCTTTAGAACCTCTTTATAAATTTACTTTCAAAGAAATCTGCTTTTACTCTTTGTCCTGTACATTTAAAGGAGCAATACAATGCCAATCTAACTAAGAAGAGTTGATAAACTCAGAGTATTCTCACATAGTAGAGTATTTTCAGTCACTTTAAATGGGAACTGTAGTCAGAATTACTGATGATTCCCCTGTGAAACCTTTAAAAGATACATTTACCTGGGAATAACCGCTGGAGATTTGGTTGAGATGTTGATGGGGGAGGTGAGGAGGAACTGATCTAGATTGACTCTAGGCACTTGTATTTTTACCAAGTTACATAGGTAATAATGTAAAGCTCAGGCTAAAAATGGCTGCTTAAAAAAATTATTTAATAACATGTAAAAATAACCATGGCAAACTAAGGTATTTACAGTGTATAACATGATTACATTGGGAGGGAAAATGAAAGTTAGCAATGGTTATCCCTAACATATACAGGCAACAATTCTAGAATGCCAAAGTTCTTCAGATCCAAACTTGAATTTGCAAGTCAGTTTGTTTTTATTCAAGGGGTTATTATCTACGGTCTGTAGCATTCCTCTACTGAATATTTTTAGCTAAAAAGAATGTTCCTGCCATTTCCAATGGTAATTTAGAGCTGGTTATATATACATGAACATCTCCAAAATCGCTGGTTTCTCTACTTGGTTGTGTGTGTTCTTCAGAATCTTTCCATGTCCTATGTCTGGCAGAAAAATCAAAATTTAACATGCAGACTTGGATATCCACTTCAAAGGGAAAAGTGGAGAACTAAATGACATTCTCTCTTAGGTCACATTCTTAGAGAATTCTGCGGCCCTGATTATAGTCTGATGTTAGCTAAAAGAGCCCATAAACCCCAAACAACCCCATGCAGTGAGGAGAAATTTTGCTCACAACTCCAGATTTTCGACCTAGACATCTCTCTTTTCAACATGTCATCCGCACACATACTTTCAAGTCTTCCATTTCAGATGACATCCTTTGAGAAATCCTCCAACCTGTGTGCTTTCAGTGACATCAGATTTCCTTTCATTACTGTGTGTGAAACACTTTTTTGGAGTCTTAGTCCTGCAAAGGTATTTCATTCCCAGGACTTACTCGCCTGTAAAATGTTCCCTGATCTCATACATCAGGCAATCTGAACTGTTAGCTCCCATTGAGACTGAAGTACCTTTTCCACTTAAACAACTGTCATCTTATTATTGAGTTAGAAGAGTCAGTGGCACTTTTAATCTTATCGGATATAATATTCCTTTGCATTCTCTTGAGGCTGTGTTTTGCACTGTTTCTCACCATCCCAAGGCTGTCTTTGTTTATTCTGCCTGTCAGAATCACACACTTAAATGCAGCTGTTTCCTTTATTATCCTCTAGCTCTATCCCCCTTGGATCCTTTATTTCTTTGGTGCGTGATGGGCAAAAAAGAAAGGAAACATTTATTTTTAAGATGTTATTCTGAAGTATTTTTCCATATTCTATTATGTATTGTGTTGACATCTCCTGCATAGTCACGTGTGTGTCTTGTGCCTAGCAAACCTAGAATTCAATAGGGGTGGGGTCTTATTTTGCAAAGCCAGGCATAATAAGCAGGAATGGAGCAAATTCCTGAAATGAACCTGTCAGACTAATCCTTTCCCAGCCTGCCACTCTCCACCACTGGCAGCAGCTCTTCAGTGAAATTGTCCAAGCACTGTTTTATTTTAAGGCATCTACTGTTTGTTTTAGATTTACATTTTGATTTGATATTCCTTTTCATTTCAACTTGCAATGAATTGTACTTTGAGCTATAATTATATAAATATTTAGATATTATACTTTTTCTTTAGGATATGAAAAATGATGGTTAGTTGCTTGTTTTTGCTGTGTACTTCTAATATACTTAGCATTTAAATTAGATCTGGAGTTTCTGGAGGAATATATGAGTCAATGAAAATATGATTTTGTGAAAGGGAACTCTGAAGAATTTTCTTTTACTACCACTTAAAGACAGAGTTGCTTCTCATTTTAGAAGCAAAAATTAAACACATACCTAGAGTTCAAAGTAAAGAAATAAGTGGTACTTAAAATGTATATCAGAAGGAGAAAAAAATCAGAAAATGGTTAGAGAAGTTCTAATTTGATTAAGATTTGCCCTTTACTTTACAAAGGACAGTTGGAAGAGTCTCTTATATAAGCAAGGGCCCAGGCAAACTGTTTTCTTTCCTTCCTAATGAAAAGCTACAGAGTTGATATGTTGTTGTTTTTATATCTATTACTTTTCTAACAGCTCTCTTCCCTGCCCTTAACTGAATCATTTGCTTATTAATATTTCATTTTTTAAAATTACTAATAGATCTTTTTTCTCCAGAAATGTCTTTGCCTTGTTTCACAGCAGCATGCACATTGCATTAGTATAAAAAAGATACTGCTGATGTCTCCTAAACAGACCCTGAGAGCCCTGGGCTATCCCCAAAACTCTGTCTTGAGCCTTCTCTATGATTCCTACTACCCTTTCTGGTACTTTCATCTGTCCTCATAGCTGCAGGGTTCAATTTTTGAATGCTTCCCAAATATGTAATTCTCTGACCTCTTTCTTGAATAAGAGTCACAGAATTCTGACTCCCTCCTGGATACTTCCACCTGAATTTTTAGCGGGTGCTTGAAACATTGTTTTGCATCAAGCCATTTAATTCTTGGAATAAACTGCACTTGGCCATGTTGGCTTATTACCAAAATTCCAAGAATGATTCAGTTGTAGGAAATGTATCCACCCATAATAAGATCTGCTGAGGGGAGGAAATCATGTAATCATCTAAATAGGTTCTGAAAAAGCAGAGGGGTCAGCTTTTTGTTTGACAACCTCTCATGGATTGGCAGAGGGAATATTTTTTTAAAAGGTGCAAAGAGGAGAGGAGGATGATACAATTAGACAAAAAGTTATAGATGTTCATAAAGTAATACAAACAGTTAGATAAAAATGAATATAAGACTAAAAGTTGTATCATATACCAAAATAAAATCAAGGTGAATAAAAGACCTGTACTCCTACCTCAGGGCTTTTTCCATTTTCTTTTTGGCCCAGAAAAGGTCCCTGGTAGGATTCTGGAAGGGGGGAAAGAAATCCTGCACTCAGCTTGAAAATGGTCTATAGCGGAGAATCCTTCTTTCTTCTGTTTCTTTTGCTAACAAACTTTGGCTTCATGACAATATGACTTTCTAGGTATTGTGAACCGTTGCAACTTCCAATTGATTCTTTCCTTTCAAAGAATCTTCTTCCATCTCTTAGGCTTGCTGTATTCTTTGGTAATAGAAAACCAAGCTTCAAGGTACAGCAAGTCCATTTTTCAGCCATTTTCTCTTTGTTAGTATTTTAAATGGTGGTATGAAAACTTCAAGATTTGATTTTTAGGCTTCAAGTTCTTATTTTCATTGCAGTAAAAGAAAGGTATTTTTGTCTCCTCCAAAAGTTGTAAGCCAAGATGGCACACAGTAGGTTTGGCACATAGTGCTATGTTTTCTATCAGACACACTTTGCAAGTCATTGTGCTGTAGTTTGATGAAGAATTTTTTTTTGTTTTATAAGATCTCATGTCTCACATACACTTTCTAGCAATAAGTGATGTTTTCTTAATTTTATCAAACAGACCAAAATAGCTAAAAGATGCAGTTTTGTACACACCTGAGATTTAAGATCATTTTGGGCTATTGAGCATTTTATGTGCAAGGGTGACTGGTAAACTGCTATTGCATACTGGACAACATTTTGATGAGGTCAAAAAAGGATGAGCCAAAGCCACACTAGGAAAGGGACTTCATAGATAATAATATAGTTTATTTTTAATTTTTTTCCTCTGTTTTAACTATACACTTGCTTATTTTAATGTCTTTCAACAACTCTTATTAGGAGAAAATGAGAAATGTCATTACATAGCTTCTGATCTCTTTTAACAAGTATACCGTGCTTATTCAGGACAGTAATTTTATGTCTTCGGTATTTTTGTAAAAATACATTTTCCACTTTCATTTTTCTTTCCTGGTAAATTGTTTCTTCATATACATCCCAGTGATGTATATGAATAACTACAGTACTGTTGTTATTCTAAGATGGTAATAAAATTGTGTTATGAAATTTTGTGCTCATATTTGACCACTCACTGTGGTTTCTATTTTACTACAGTGTTGTGCCGTGTTTTATGGTGCTCAGCACTCAGCTGAAGTCTGAAAGGAAATATATTGTGAATACGTAGCCTACAGCTTTCATTTAATACCCTTACAATACACTCACCACTTTAAAAAGAGGTCCTCCATTTAAAAAATGTATGTGTGTGTGTGATAGTCAGCCTATTATTTTTCCTTTTTACTATCTTAATCAAATTATAAGTCATGCTTTTAATAAATTTTAATAAATTAATCAAATTATAAGTCATGATAATAAATTAATCAAATCATAAGTCATGCTTATCTTTAATAAGATAATTTTTACAAACAGGACATTTGATCACAAGAGCATCAAAACGTCTTTGTTATACAAGTATTTGAAGTGTTCAGAGATGTATTTTGTGACTTTTGTGGACAGAAGTGTGACTTGCATTCACATACATGTGTTATTTTCTCATAACAGTTGACTTCAAGCCTCGAGCCAGTATGGATACTGTCCATCATATGTTACTTTTTGGATGCAATATGCCTTCATCCACTGGAAGTTACTGGTAAGGATAACGGGTTCACAGTATAGAATTGAGTAGAAAATATGTTTTACAATTACAAAGTATATCTGTGCAAGTATTTTACAACTGGTTAATAAATAAGCAGAACTTTTTAAGAAAAAGAACATTGTTCATTGACATCACATGATTATCATGGTTTATCACAGTTAGTTATTTAGTCTGCTATGGAACATATCTATTAGCCTTTGTCACTGAGTTCATAAATATATGTCTCATGGACATAAAGATGGAAACAGCAGAAACTAGGGACTCCAAAAGGGGTAGGGTGAGTAGGTAGCAAGAGCTGAAAAACTACCCATTGGATCCTATGTTCGCTGTTTGAGTGATGGGCTCAATAGATGCCCAAACTCCACATTACACAATATACCATGTAACATGTTCCTCCTGAATCTAAAATAAAACAGATTAAATATATGTATATTGTTATACAGTAGTATGTCCAGGTACAGAAGGCTTGTAAACAAAGTCTGAAAATTTAGGTTATTGTTACTCTGATATGAATTTTTTAAGGTTCATTATTCTACCCAAAGAGCACCATGGTTCTGTTCATTGAGCACTCTTTCTTCAGACACTGTGCCTGGTGATGTAGGCCTACCATTTCATTTTACCCTAATGTCTCTGCAAAGCAAATATTGTTATTTCCACTTTACACACAAGAAGCCTGAAGCTCAGAGTGATTCAGTAAGTTGTTCAAGGTAACATAACTGGTTGATGCAAGATAAAGATTGAACCCTAGCTTGTCTGATTCCAAACCTACTGTCATTTCCAGTTTACCACACTGCCTCCTATTTATTCAAGTAATTATTAATTCAAGTATTTATGCAATTAGATATTATTATTAGAAATTATTTGAATCACTACGGTGAGTCTTAATATCATGTCATGAACAATCAAGAAACCTCTATTAAGTGCCTGTCGCATGCCAGAGATGCAGCAGATGCTTGGGAGGTTCTAGGAAAAATAAGATGTTTTCTACCCCTGTAAGTTTACAGCATAATTATGGTTTGAGATTGTGCCTCTCATTTTGTTCTTTGGCATTCTTGGAGAGCACTGAACTCTGAAAATAGCCACACGCTTTAAGCTTTATATTTTTCATGTAGACCCAGAATCACTGTTACATATTTAATAGTCTGAATAACCGGTGTGCTTTGCTTTGCATTGAGAAGGAATCCGTTTTGAGGTCCTGTCCCTACATAATCCTATAGACTGATGGGTCTTTCCCTGTGCATCCTAATATTCATATGTCTGATGTGAGTCAAGCAGCAACTGCTCTTTTATTGTTTTTATAATAAACAATATAATATGTATTTGGAACTGTTAAAAGCACAGGGCAATTAGTAGAAATCTCCATGGACCAAGTACCATCAAAGCATTTGTTAATAGGCTTAAGTTATTTGATGAAAGGGACATATCACATAGGAACCCAACTCATGTGACTGGGTTTATGTAAAAACGGACTCAGCAAATCACAGTTAATATCTTTCAATATCAACATTCCCATTTATGCTCTTCAGTAAATTTTTATAAATAAAATTCTGGGATTAAAAGATAATTTTTTGACAGCTTTTCCTGAATCTTATTCAGTAAATCACACTCTTTGGTTTTTATGCTTTAAAATGATTCCTTCTGAAATTACCAATATTTACCTTTGGATTAGACTCATTGAAAATAGCTAGAAGGAATGTAAGCTTTTAAAGTCTGCTTTTGTTGCACCTGGTTTAAGGAAATGAGTGAGAAAATAAAATGACACTTAATGCTATTCCAATTCTAATTGTTAGGAAAAATTATCTGAAATGAATCAAGTATAGCTCACTGTTCTCACATTAAGGGAATATTTTAGCCACTTTAAAATATTTATTAGTATTCTTAAACTATTTTGAAATTAAATCCATAAGATATATTGACGAAAAGTCTTCCATATTGCGGAACGAGAAGTTTCAAAGAAAAATGTAAATGAAAGTGAAAAAGAAATTTTGAGTGGAGTAATTGCTACATGTATCATTTGCTATAATTATTACTTTAAAGGCAGCACAGTAGAATGAAAGAGCAGTGAACTAACTTGCTGAATTCCTTGGGTAGGTTATTTAGCCCATCTCTGTTAGAGTTCTTTTCATTTTAGCAAAGGACTTATACTAGGCCATTTATAAAGCCTCTCTATGCTCTAAAATTCCATAATCCTATGAACATCAATTACATGTAAATTCTGAGTCTGATTGGAAAGGCATTATTTCTAGGAGTTGGAGATGTGTGCACTGCTTGACTTACCTCAAGCAAGCAGCTCACTGTGTTTTGCCAGTCAGTTGCATCGTTGAGTAATTACATTTCCTAATAACACTACACCCATATCATTTTAAATGGATTTTAAAATATTTTCTTTGTATCCCATAGTCCCACTTAATTTGTAGGTCTGTTATAATTGAATTTATAACTATAAAACAAGGACAATTGATGCTATTATTCATCATCTTATAACCAAGCCCAAAGTGCTTAAGTCTAACATTTAAAAGTGGGATCTTTTCGATATGTAAACTAGAAGACATACATCAAGTAAAATCGTTCTGTTGACTCTGACTTCCACAATCACGTCTTATGTTCTATTTTTTTTTTTTTTTTTTTTTTTTTTTTTTTTTTTTTTAGACAGAGTCTCACTAAGTCACCCAGGCTGTAGTGCAGTGGTGCGAACTCATTTCACTGCATCCTCCACCTTCTGTGTTCAAGCAATTTTCCTGCCTCAGCCTCCTCAGTAGCTGGGACTAGTTGGGACTACAGGCGCATGCCACCGTGGCCAGCTAATTTTTGTATTTTCAATAGAGATGAGGCTTTGCCGTGTTGGCTAGGCTGGTCTCGAACTCCTGACCTGAAGTGATCCACCTGTCTTAGACTCCCGAAGTGCTGGGATTACAGGCATGAGCCACTGTGCCTGGCCACAGGCCTTATATTCTTATTTAAAGATAGTATGCATTATTTACATTCCAATATTTGGTAAAATCTATGCTTTAAAGAACTAGAGCTCACAGGATATTTCACAGCCAGAATTTTTAGTTGCTTCACAGAAACATATTTCACTCCCCACCCCAAGTGCCTCACAGCCTCAGCCCTGCAGACAGTTAGTGGATATTTTCCAGCTGTTTAACATCTTATTCTCTCATCTGAATTACAGTACTCATAACAAAAATCTATTAGTGTCAAAAGTCTTGCATTATTTTTCTAAAATGTTTGAGTCATGCAGTTGATCACGCTCATTTTACAGTTACAAACCTATTATTCAATTATTCTAATATATAGATAGAACTTAAATGAAGACTCCTAAACTTTCACATGTATTTTGAGTATGATACCTATAACAGTTTTTGATGCTTAAAAATATACAGAAGTCATTCACACTCTAGGGAAATTTATAAGGAAATACAAAGCTGTTTTAGGAAAGAGGAAAAAGCTATCTTAACATCAAAATGTCAAACTTGGATTTTCTTTTTTCTGTTTGTTAGCTAGGATTTCCTCCTGTTTTCACTTGAGTGTTTCATTTTCATTGCCAGCAGGTTGGCAAATAGGTATCTTTAATATAGAAAACATGTTTCCCCTGAAATTATGAAGTGATAATTCTTCAGGCAGCATTTTTAATATGAAGGGAAAGAGCTATTCTGATGATGTTTCACTGTTGTGCTGCCCTCCTTTGCTCTTTGTAATTGCCTCTTTCTACTGTTCATTAAAATATATTTACAGTTATATTAAGTTTACATGAAAATACTAGACACAGCATGAAGCAGTTTTCATTATGTAGTCATTTTAATTTTAAAGTTTTTTTCCTCTGCACATATTCCAGTCTTTTGTGTCTCATTCCAAATTAGCAGCTAACACTGGTAATATGTCTAGTTAATTATATGCATGTGCATTTAAATTGCGTACATTGATTTGAACCTTTTAATATACTGTAGGGTGGTCCCTTTATAGTTAGAGTGGGTCTGATGCTCAATTCCAAATTAACATACCTCTAGAGGATGCAAATAAGGACCAGCTGATGGAAAAGAAACAGCTCTGCTAACCCATGTAAAGAAGGAGACAGTACCTGTCAGATGTAACCCCAATACCTTCTTCCCAAACTTTTAGAGGAGGAGACAATTAACCCCTTCTAGGGACCAAAAGAAAATAATAACACCAAGATTTGAGCAAGCATAGCAATAGCATGATCTGTTGCACTTTATTTGTGCTCTATAGACCTAATTCAAAACATGACAATTCTAAGTTCCCCAAATTTATTAGCTGAATATGAGCCATAAGTGAGCAGGTGCTCTTTTGAAGTTTTTAGAGTCAGTAATACAGTGACGGTGCTGAAAACTGGGTAATTTAAGTATAAAAATTTACTGAAATCTTGGAAATTTAAATATTGCATTCATCTATGAATTACTTCATTCTGTTTTTACTCTTAACAATCAATATTTTTAAATGATGAGTGATTCAAATCATAATATTTTGTTTGTACAAATTGTGTTGGCATTTGGGGTAATTCTAGAGTGCTTTCTTTTTTAAATGTGAGATTGTAGGCTTTTGCGTTTTCTATTCTGCTGAGCACAGGACATAGGGTTTAAAGCAATTTAGGATTGCAAACCCCAATGTTTTGTGTTTAAAATATTAGTTGACTAAAGTGAGTGGGCATCTTATGTATCCAGTCTTATACTTTGGTGTGATCTTCTGTGCATAGCTAAATTTATTTTTAGCTCTTCTTATTAATATTTGATTTTAAAGCCATTTCTAATGACACGTAGGACCAACTAGTCTTAAGCCAAAGATGTCTTCTACAGGTTGTTTGATGTTTTTTGATGAAGAAAAATCCCAGCTGGTTAAATGAGGCTATTTCCAGCTGTTCGAACTGGGAATCATTCTCAAGCTAAAGCAGTAGTGCCTTACCATCTTATGAAGCTTTAGCTTAAATCCCTTTCAACTGCTTCTATTTATTAACCACCTGCTGTGTCTTTTTAAATGCC